CAGTTAAACTCAGGAGCTCACCCAGTTAAACTCAGGAGCTCACCCAGTGAAGCTCAGGAGGTGAATCCCCTTGGGCACAGCTCTCAGCAGAGCTCTCAGCAGCCTGTGCTTAGTCTGGGCTTTACCCTCAGCCCATGGCAGCAGAGCTGGGGGGAGCACAGGACTGTCCAGACTCCTTCCCCAGCCTGTCCAGGGCACAGACAGGGACAGTTGTGTGCCAGACAAGGAGCTGAGCTGAGCTCAGCTGAGCTGAGCGTTCCTCACTCCAGCTCAGCTCCATCATCAGGCTCCAGCAGGGCTGAGACAGGCAGCAGCTGCAGCTGGTGCAGCTTTAGGCTCAGCCCAAAGGGATTTTGGGCCCAGCTTTCTGGTGGGACAGATTTGAAACCACTGCTGGTTTCACCATCCATGACACCAGGAATCCCGTGGCAAGAGAATAATTTAAAATAAATATTTCTTCCCAGTTATGACACTTGCTTGGTGATTTTTGTTGCCCAGAGCAGCTGTGGCTGCCCCTGGATCCCTGGCAGTGCCCAAGGCCAGGCTGGGCAGGGCTTGGAGTGACCTGGGACAGTGGGAGGTGTCCCTGCCATGGCAGGGGTGGCACTGGATGAGCTTTAACCTCCCTACCCAAACCACTCTGGAAATGTTTGATTTTATGTCCTCAAAGCCTTGAGGCTCTGCAGGACTGGGGAGGGAAGGCAAGGCCAGGCTGTTCTGGGTGCCAGGGTTGGCTCCAGAACTGGCCCAGACCCAGGCCCAAGCCTAGGCCCAAGCCTAGGCCCAGCCTTACCAGCCAGCACTGCCTGCAGCATGTCCATGAGCATGCGAGCAAAGGCTGTCTCCAGGCACTGCAGGAAGTTGTTCCTCTCCCAGGGAGTGCTGAAAACCTTGCAGACCTTGTGCATCATCTTCACTGCCCAGTCCATGCAGTACAGGTCCTTCTCACACACCTGCAGGCCAAAGCAAGGATTCAAAACTCAGGTTTTTATGGTGCAAGATCATAATCTCGGCATTCACTGTGGGTTGTGGATCAGCCCAGGCCTGGAGGATCAGGGGATGATGTGACAAGGACACAGAGGTTCCTCCTGCTGGCACAAAGGGAATTCTGAACCATTGGCTGGTGCTGCTGCTCCTCAGGGATGTGCTGGACAGGGAGCAGAGAGGTGGAAAAGCACCCAGGGCTGGGTTTATCCCTGGGAACAGCACCCAGGACTGGATTTATCCCTGGGATCAGCACCCAGGACTGCATTTATCTCTGGGATCAGCACCCAGGGCTGGATTTATCCCTGGAAGAGGACCCAGATCTGGATTATCCCTGAGAAGAAAACCCAGGACTGGATTTATCCCTGGAAGAGAACCCAGATCTGAATTTATCCCTGGGATCAGCACCCAGATCTGGATTTATCCCTGGAAGAGCACCCAGGGCTGGATTTATCCCTGGGAACAGCACCCAGGGCTGGATTTATCCCTGGAAGAGCACCCAGGGCTGGATTTATCCCTGGGATCAGCACCCAGATCTGGATTTATCCCTGGAAGAGCACCCAGGACTGGATTTATCCCTGGAAGGCACCCAGGGCTGGATTTATCCCTGGGAACAGCACCCAGGGCTGAATTTATCCCTGAGAAGAGCACTCAGATCTGGATTTATCCCTGGTGTGTGGGAGCAGGTGGGGAATCCTCTCCAGCCTGAGGCAGCACATGTGTGTCTGTGAGGAATCTGTGAGGAATCTGTGAGGAAAGGGGGGCTGTGCTGAGCTCTGTTCTCACCAGAACCATGAAGACCATGAGCCTGGCCAGCTCCACAGCTCTGCCATTCACGGCTTTGCTGGCCAGGAAGGTGAAGCAGATGCTGTTGCCACTGAGGAGGAGGAGCCGAGCGTTGTTCTCCATCAGCCACTCCTGAGGAACCACTTCAGAACGAGGGGAGAGAGGATTTCAGTGCCCTCTGAGCACGAAGGGGAGCAGGGAAACTGCACAGATAATTAGAGCACTGATAATTAGAGCTCTCCACACCACCTCAGCCAAAACTCTCAGTGTAGCTGGGAAAACCCTTCAGGAGAATTTGGAGCCAATTCCACATTTGGATAATGTTTCCTGAATAATTGAAGGTTTGAAAAGTCTGCATGGATTCTTAAAGGATTCAGCCTGGCTGTGGAGGGGACACTGGGTTTCTCTCATCCCAGCCTGGCTTCCCAGTGTGAGCACTTTTCCAGTTCAGCTACTGAGAGGGATTTTGCAGCACACAGCTGGGTTTGGAGGACGTGAGGATCCATAATCCCAGGGATTAATGATAAAGGCAAAAAACACACCTGACAGCTCATCCACAAGACTGATAACATCATCTGCTGTCCATTCTCTAGCTTCTGTACCATACAGCAGCTTAATTGCATCAGCTAAACCCTTCAGACTGCTCTCATCTGTTGGTCCTTCTATCATTTTCTGCCACACCACATGTCCTGAGTGACATATCAATCACAACTGCTAGTAAGTGACATTTTTTTTTTTTTTTAAACAAGGAAGTTGCTAAACTCAGCCTCACAGCAGAGGCAGAGGAATTCAGGTGACACCACTGAGGCTTTGTGATTATTTTCCATCTGGCATTTTAGCAGGGACTGTGAGTCAAACTTAAAGAAACCCAGGTTTAATAATTAAGTGAGAAAATGTGTTTTCCTTCAGGGAAATGGGTGCTTCTTTGAAATCTACCCCAAGCAAGGGAGAATAGAGGAACAGAGGTGAAATTTAATTTCCTCACTGAATTGTAACTTATATGTGTGTGTGTGTGTATAATTTATATATTTTCTGTATGCTAGTGATGTCTGCTTGAGCACAACAATTTTTTTCCCAGGCAATGCAATGGCTCCAATGGCTTCAGGTGGACAGAGGGCAGGTTTAGATTGGGTGTTAGGAAAGAATTCCTTCCTTTCCTTCCCTTCCTTCCTCACAGGGAGGACCCTGTGAGGGTGGTGAGGGGCTGGAATGGATTTCCCAGAGATGCTTCAACCCTGGAAATGCCTCAGGCCAGGCTGGATGGGGTTTGGAGTACTCTGGGATAGTGAGGGTGGTGAGGGGCTGGAATGGATTTCTCAGTGATGTCCCATCCCTGGAAGTGTCCCAGACCAGACTGGGTGGGATTTGGAGCACCCTGGGATGGGGGAAGGTGTCCCTGTGAGGTGAGGGGCTGGAATGGATTTCCCAGAGATGTCCCATCCCTGGAATTGTCCCAGACCAGGATGGGGTTTGGAGCACCCTGGGATAGTGAGGGTGGTGAGGGGCTGGAATGGATTTCTCAGTGATGTCCCATCCCTGGAATTGTCCCAGACCAGGCTGGACAGAATTTGGATCATCCTGGGACAGGGAAAGGTGTCCCTGCCTATGGGGCACCGAGCTTTAAGATCCCTTCCAACCCAACCCGACCCAACCCAACCCAACCCAACCCACGACACCACCACATTTCTGGAGTTTCCTCCTCCCTTTGCTCACCGTCACGAGAGGACACGGGCCCGAAGATGATGTAGAGCAGGCGAGCCTGGTTCACCATGGGCCAGGGCTTGAGGATCCGTGTGAGCCAAAAGGCGGAGTCTCCGCGGCGGCTCCCGGCCAGCAGCACCCCCCGGCAGAAGAGGCGGATCCGCAGCTCCAACCTGCGGGCACTGCCTGGGGACAGCGCGGGCTCAGCCAGCGCCGCTCGCCAAAACGGACCCCGGGACGTCTTTAATTCAGTTTTGTCTCGGGAATTCCGCAGTTTTGGTGCTTGGCTCGGATTCGGGTGGTGGGGAGTGTGGGTGCATCCAATGGGAGACTCCAGGAGGGATACAGGTTTGGGGGTTTGGGGTTTGGCAATATGGAAAGGGAGGTGTTTGTGACACTTTTAATTCAGTTTTTTGTCTCTTATTTCCTGAATTTTGATGCTTTGCCCTAATTCAGGTGATGGGATCTGTGGGTGCATCCTCTGGGAGCATCCATGAGGGATAGGTTTTGGTTTTTGGGGTTTGGCAATGGTGGAAAGGGAGGTGTTTGTGACACCTTTAATTCAGTTTGTGTCTCGTGGATTCCTCAGTTTTGGTGCTTGGCTCTGATTCGGGTGGTGGGGAGTGTGGGTGTATCCAATGGGAGACTCCAGGAGGGATATAGGTTTGGGGTTTTGGGGTTTGGGGTTTGGTTTTTGGGGTTTGGCAATAGGGAAAGGGAGGTGTTTGTGACACCTTTAATTCAGTTTTTTGTCTCTTACTTCCTGAAATTTGATGCTTTGCCCTAATTCAGGTGATGGGATCTGTGGGTGCATCCTCTGGGAGCATCCATGAGGGATAGGTTTTGGGTTTGGGGTTTGGCAATGGTGGAAAGGGAGGTGTTTGTAACACATTTAATTCAGTTTTCATCCCTTGCTTCCTGAATTTTGATGCTTTGCCCTAATTGAGATGATGGGAACTGTAGGTGCATCCTCTGGGAGCATCCAGGAGGGATACAGATTTTGGGTTTTAGGGCTTGGTTTTTGGGGTTTGGTTTTTGGGGTTTGGCAATAGGGAAAGGGGGGTGTTTGTAATGTGTTTAATTCAATTTTTTGTCTCTTATTTCCTGAATTTTGATGCTTTGCCCTAATTGAGATGATGGGATCTGTGGGTGCATCCTCTGGGAGACTCCAGGAGGGCTCTGGGCTGTGGGGTTTGGTTTTTGGGGTTTGATTTTTAGGGTTTGGGTTTTGGGGGCTTGGGTTTTGGTTTTTAGGGTTTGATTTTTGGGGTTTGGTTTTTTGGGATTTGGTTTTTGGGGTTTGGGGGTTTGGTTCTTTAGTTTTTGGTTTCTGGAGTTTGGTTTTTGGGGTTTGGGTTTTGTTTTTTTAGTTTTTGGTTTTTGGGGTTTGGTTTTTGGGGGTTTGGTTTTTGGGGTTTGGGTTTTGGTTTGGTTTTTTTAGTTTTTAGTTTTTGGGGTGTGATTTTTGGGGTTTGGTTTTTTGGGGTTTGGTTTTTGGGGTTTGATTTTTGGAGTTTGGTTTTTTGGGGTTTGGGTTTTGGGGCTTGGTTTTTGGGGTTTAGGTTTGGTTTTTTTGAGGTTTGGGTTTTGGGGTTTGATTTTTGGGGTTTGATTTTTGGAGTTTGTTTTTTTTTGAGTTTGGTTTTTGGAGTTTGGTTTTTGGGAATGAAGGGTGATGTGGTTGGGGATGGAATGTTCCTGTTCCCTGTCCTGTGTTCAAATTCCCTGTTCTGTGCTGGCAAACGGGAGAATTTCTTGAATTTATCCCGTGGGTGTTGGGGTTCAGAAATGTTAAACCTCATTTTTCACTGCTTGGTTTTATTTCTGACTGGGTTAGAAACAAATCCTGCCATTGATTTCACTGGCCTAGAGCAGATTCAAAATCCACTGGTGAAGAAGAGCCCCGAGTGAGGCTTTGATTGATGATGGCATGATTTAAAATCCCTAAAATCCCTCCAGACAAACCAGACACAAAAGCGATTTTCTGTGCCCTTGGGCAGGAGCTGAAAACCCAGAACTCGCTGAGATTTTTCTGTGATTTCTGAACCACAAAACCCTCAGCAGAGTCAGGAGCTCGGCTTAAGCCGAGCCTAACCCCGTTTAGTCCCACCCCCATTCCCTTGGCGGCCACCCGGAGCCGTTTCCTGCCACTTTGGGGTTTTTGGGGGGTTTTTTTGGGGGGGGTTTTTTTGGGGAGATTTTTTGGGGGTTACCTGGTTTGCTGCTGACCACAGTCTGCACTTTCCTGGCTAAATTGCTGAGCTCCCAGAGGAAGTTGAACACCCGGTGGCACTCGAGCTCATCCCAGCCCGCCGTCAGGATCTGAAGGGGAGGGGAAACGCAGTGAGAAGGAGGAGATTTGTTCCATCTCAGAAATCTCTTTTGAAACTTTCTGTGCTTCCAGGCACGGACCCCACCCCGAAAAAAAAACCAAAAACCACCGCTCTAAACCAAAAACCTTTTAAAAAAGGCTTGTAAATATATAAATAATGAGTTAAAAATCACAAACGTGTAGTAAGTGAGATGTGTGTATTTTCGCTAAGTGGTAAGTTTTAAATTTGAAGTTTTTATAGCGTAGTGATAAAGAAAAAAACGAAATAAATTTTTTTGGGGGGTTGTGTCTTTTCCTTTGTTCTTCTTCTTCCCCACAGACCTCGGGCAGTGACCTTTGGCTGCTCAGTCAATGTCACTCTGAGGGTGCTGGGGATCCATGGGGGGGTCAGGAGGATCAATAATGTCGCTGTTAAACTTCTATTGCAGGGTTTGGCTTCCAAAGGCCTCGGAGCAGCCTCAGCCGGAGCCTTTTCCCCACTTGGAGCCAGGAGCTGGAGGTGCTGTCACACTTTGTGTCACTGCTGGTCACACACAATGAACATCCAACCCCAGCACGAGAGTCCTGCCCCAAGGGGAGGGTCCAAGATTTGGGATTGGGGTGGATTCCCATGCAATCTTTGGGATTGGGGTGGATTCCCATCCAAGATTTGGGATTGGGGTGGATTCCCATCAAAGATTTGGGATTGGGGTGGATTCCCATCCAATCTTTGGGATTGGGGTGGATTCCCATCCAATCTTTGGGGTTGGGGTGGATTCCCATCCAATCTTTGGGGTGCTTTGAGGATCTGGGGGTGCTGTCACACTTTCTGTAATTGCTGATAAAATACAATCAACATCCAAGCCCAAACATGAAAATCATCTCAATCACCTTCCTAATAATCCTAAAAGCTCTAAAAGCAAAATAAACCTGGTGACAGGGCATTAATAAATAATGCAAAGCCCAGTTTACACCCCCCAGACTGAGCAGGAATTCTGCTCCCCTCTGATAAATTCAATTTATGGAGCAGGCTCAGGAGAGGGAGGGAAGGGTCACACCTGGGTGGGGGGCAGGGAATTTATTGATTGATATTGAAATTGGCCACAAAAAAAAAAAAAAAAAAAAAAAATTCCTGACAGGATTTGAAGGAGGAATTCATCAGCCTGATGCTTGCCAGGATGAAAAACTGCTCAGAGTGTCCCAAAAATCTGATTTGTGACTCTTAAATTGACTTTTAAGTGGGAGGTATTTGCTATAAAATATCCCAGCACCAATAATCACCTGCTCTTCTAAGGCAGGGTTTGAATTTTTCTATTTGTTTTGTGAAATTGTATTATAAATTTATGATTTTTATGTTTGGTTTACATTAATTTGAAGCTACCACAAATAATTTCTGTTTGTGTGGATTTTCCTGGCAGCTGAAGGATTTTTGTTCTTGACCTTGGAGCTGTGGGATAAAATTCTCCCTTTCTCCCCTGTCTTCTGCTAATTTATTATTAATTTATAGCAAAATCCAGACTGGCTGGGAGTGAAATCCAGGCCAAAAAAATTCTCAGCAGTCAAATTTCAGCACCAGAAAGAAAACTCAGAGACCTGTGTGAATAAACAGCACCTCAAACCACACACACAAAAAAATAAATTTCTACTTTTAAAAATCGTGCAAAATGAGGATTAAATTAGAAAAATTCCTATTTTTTTTTTTTAATTTATTTTTCTTTTTATTCCTACCTGTAGGAACACCCCATAGCACTGCAGGCCCAGGCAGTGCAGAGGACTGGCACAACCACTCAGCTTGAAACAGGGAACCTGCAGCAGCAAACAGCAACCATTTGTCCTAATTAATCAATATTTAATTGCTGTGGTGGGCAATCCTCTGTGCTCCTCCGTTCAGAGAGGTTCAGGGTTATGGAGAGATCAGACATGCAATTAATTAATAGATAGATCAGACATGCAATTAATTTATAGATAGATCAGACATAATTAATGTATAGGTGGATCAGACACACAATTAATTTATAGATAGATCACATATAATTAATTTATAGATGGATCACACACAATTTATAGATAGATCAGACATACAAGTTATAGATATATCACACATAAAACTAATTAATAGATAGATCAGACATGCAATTAATTTATAGATAGATCAGACATGCAATTAATTTATAGATAGATCACACACACAATTAATTGATACATTGAT